GTGTATCTGTCTGTGTATCTGTCTGTCCCTCTGTTTCTCTGTCTCTCTCTCTCTCTCTTTCTCTCTTCCTCTCTGTCTTCTTTCTCTCACCTCTGCTTTCCCTCGTCCCTCTTCCCTCCGACTGTCGTTTTGTCTCTTTCCCTCTCTCTCTCTCTATCCTTCCCTCTGTCACCCTCTCTCTCTTTCCCGGTACTTCCATCTTTCTGTCTCTCCGTCTCCTTGTCTCTCTGTGTTATGTCTCTTTATTCTTTGGTTCTTTTGGCCTTAGACCCCCAAACCCAGGGCGCGAAAAAAGCCCTGTACGGCCGGTTAACTTGTTTTTGCCTCCTTAAGACTCTTTCGTTCCTTCGGCCTTAGACCCCCAAACCCGGGGCATGAGAAAACCCTGTATGGCCGGTTAGGTGTGGTTTTTTGCCCCTTCAAGGTTCTTTTGTTCCTCCTGCCCCAGTCACCTGGTTGGTTGATGTGACCTGAACGTCTAATTCCACCTGCAATGTCGCCCACTTCATTCACGATCTTCTTTATATATATATATATATATATTAAACGAGCGGAACTGCCCGCACTCCTGGTCTGTGGGCGGTCCGCAGAATTCCAAAGCCAATGAAACCGTGTTCGACACGCTGTGATCCAGATAGTTAAACCTATCTTGTTTACCATGTCCCGCCCTTGTCTAGATGCAACTGTGGCTGAGAGTCGATGTTGCTAGCTCCTTGCAGGGGCCGCATCAAGAAGAGGAAGATGGCGAGGCACACTTCCACCTGCGTTTGGGGTTTCGAGCAGAAGATCGAAAAATCTTTCCGAGAGAAAACCATCGTGAGCATGGGGGCTCTGCTTCTTCATCGCTACAGCGCTCAGGGAGTCAGTGGCAAAACTATGCTGAGTCCGAACCGAAACCCTAAACCTGCTCTGACTGCAGGCGAAGGTCACCCCATCCTTGGGCGAGAAGTGGCAGATGCACGAAGAGCTGATGGACAAAGGCTTTGCCAGGCCTCAGCACTGAACCTCTCGAGCAAGGGTTGGGCCACACAGAAGGAACAAGAGGAGAGGTTCTGATTGTGTCTGCAATATCACAAAGCTTATCTGAGCTGGAGCGGAGCGGTTTTGTCTGTTCTGCACCTAAGCGCGAGCCTACGCCTGCTGCACCATCGCCAGGCTCTCCGAGGTTCAGGCGAGTGGCTTGCTGGATCAGTGCATCAGGACCCGGTCTGAGCACGGAAGCGCTGAAGGGCTTCAGGTTTCGGGAAACCAGAGCAGGATCTCGGAAGCTCTGCGGAATTGCAGATGATTCTTTGACAGCTGCCGACGAATAAGACGCAAGCTTTTGGAACTGAGTCGACGAAAGCCCTAAAGTGTGTGTTGCAGACCACGATCTTCTGCCGGGGTGAAAAGGCCTGTAATCAGGCCTAGCAGGGCAAGCCCTGAGCTTTTTGGCAGGATCTCCGAGCGCGTGCTCGGGAGGGTCATGGAGAGTGCGGACTGGAAGTATCGTCAGCTGGACATGGAGAAGCCCAAGGCTCGCGGCTCTGTTTCCTGAGCTTCTCGGGAAAGGGTGGCGTCTTTCATGTGCGGAAGCACAGAACGGCACACTGGATGTCCATAAGGCAGGTAAGCTTCTTGCACAAGCAAGTCGTAGGTTTGGCCATGTGCAGTTTCAGAAAGGAAGGCATTCGAGCAACTTGGCCACGTGCGTTCTGAGGTGGCCGGCATTCTGGCGACCCCAGGCATCCTCGAAATCTTCCACGGTGCAGGTGCCGACTTCCAACTTCAAACTTGGAGGTTTTCAGATTACAGTGGTCGCGTAGAGGAGCTTAGAAGCGCGAGGCGAGACAAGGCCAATCAACGTCATTCCTATCATTATGAAGATCGTATAGTATACTCCCAAACCCTATTCGAATTATCAAGGCCACTAAATTAATTGGAATACGCATGGAGTCCTCGTCTTTGCAGTCTTCAGCTCTTTGCTTGTCCTTTTGGCCCTCAGCTGATGGAATCCGATCAGGGCTGGTGTTCGCGTTCGCCGGTCCCCTCACCGGTCTGTGCGGTTGCTTTGCATGCCTCGTCTGGGAAGAGCTCTCGAAAGCAGTATGCCGGCTGATATGACCACAAACTGCCAGTTCCACACAGGATTGCTTTCACACGTCCATTGCCAGAGTTTGCCAGAGCTTCCCAGTACTTCCAGGTTGGGTGGAGGAAGGTGATTGGCTGGTGCTGCCGGAGGGCACTCCTTTCGAGCCAGAGCCTCGTTCTTGAAAGCAGAAGGGGGGGGCCAGAGCGGTGCAAACTTGGACGTTGCTGTGGATGGCTCTAAACACCCCGAAACCTCCAGACTAGCAGCCACTTCGCTCATCGCAAGGCTTGCGCAAAGCGCTGTCGAAGGTCTGCAGAGAGAGCAACGGCGTCGTGCCACTGTGGGGTTCCCAGCAAAGTCTGAGTTCTTACCCTCAAAGTCACTTGAAAACCTTTCTGAACTCGCAAGCTAAACAGAGCTTTTGCAAGCCCTAAACCCTAAACCCAAGCCCCCAAACCCCAAACCTAAGCCCTACATTGTAAAACCTTGCCTTGGAGGTCCAAAGCACCGCACAGAATCCCAATGAGCTCGGGCCTTAGCGGTTCAAAAGGGTGTAAGGCTTTTGGGGATTAGGGTGTAGGGCTTGCAAGGCTTTGGGTTTAGGGTTTAGGGTTTAGGGCTTTTGGGGGTTAGGGTGTAGGGCTTGTAGGGCTTCGAGTTTAGCGGTCTGAAGTTTAGGGAGGGCTTGCTCACTTCGGGTTTGGGGGTTTTCAGGATTTAGGGTTCATTCCCCAATTGTGGCCTGCATCATTCCGGTCTCCTAGCAAGACGACACCCCTGATTGCTGAGGATGCACAAGGAGGTGCCAGTTCATCATTTTCTGCTACAAAGTGCTTGTGACTTCTCGCGACAACTCGTTCATTGATGTGTTGATGATACGAGTCAACGGTGTTCACAACGGCAGTGGCCGTGAAAGTGCTAACCAAACACGGAATATGAATGCCGCAGCCCCCTGAATCCTAAAGCCTTGAAGTATTCAGATTGAATCAGAACTTGACATTCACTTTGAAAGTGCTTCTCAAAGCTATCTGCGGATCTCAATCCCTGAGGCGTCGTTTCAACCCCTGGGATGGAAAGGTTTACACCTTCAAGGAGCCGATCTTGTCCTGCGATGTCTTCCAAATGTATAAAGGCAACTCTTTCTGAAACAATACATTTACTTATTTACCTGGCTATACATAGATGCAAGGCATATCGTTTTTTCGGCGCAACGTGTTCCATCCGCATATGGTTATGTTCCAACACACACGCACACAGACCGAGTCTTCTCTCTTCGCCAAAAAGAGGACTTAGGGGTTGAGTAGGTCACCTTTAACCTTCTGGGGCTGTTTTTATATAACCCTACTGTAATTCAAAAGGATAACCTTTTTGAGCTGGGGTACTCAGCCCCCTAAGAGGAGCTGGAGAAGTGCCTGGAGAGAGCAGACTTGACCTTGGCAGAGATCCAGGCAGGCAGTGAGTGGCCGGGTCGTGCCAAAGAATTGGGGGTTTAGGTTTTAGGGTTTGATTCAGAGTGTTCTTTAGAAAGAGGATCAATCCTACTATTCAGGTTTACATGACCTGTAATCTGTTAAGGAGCCGCATTGAAGGTTTGTTTCAGGGTTGTGTAAAGTTGGAGAGGCTTATATGTGTTATTGTACAACCGCGTACACGGTAGCAGAGCACATGCCAGCAGAGTGTGTTTTTGTATTGTCGCATGACATGGGTTGTTGTAGTGAGAATGGATGCGGCACAGATTGGCCGAGCTAGAACGTTAGCATTACATGTGTGTTTACGGATCCTGTAGGTGCTGCCTGCTCTACTCAGTTCAGCTTTGCAATGACGTAGAGTGTTGCGACATCGTGCTTCTGGATCGGGTCGTTCTTGTTTCAGCTCTATGTTTGTCACTTCGTTTGATGGTGTGACACTCTTCAAGACAGGTTGCAAGATGCAAATTGCTGCTAGCATCTGCTGATGGAGGAGCATTGGGCTCATCGATGCCGGCCAATTGCACAGAAGGACTGGACACGTGGGTGGATCCACTCCGTGTTGTAGGTTTCAATAATTTCAATACTCAGAGGATCAGCAGATTTTTGTAGCACTCGTTGTTTCTGATAGTGTTCACAGCGAGTCTTGACAGCTTTTTCGACGGATCGCTTTGGTACTGTCACCCTGCTATCACCATCCGCTGATCTAGTTTGTCTGCTGCTGGCAACGTCAAGTCATTCCCAACAGAATCCTACATCCTAACCCGGGAATGTCAGCTGCTTTTGGGTTACATGCGGCTTTCTGCAGGAAGGAGCTGCAATTGGTGGGCCGGAGGTCCCTGTGGCTTCTGAGCCGCAGGCGGGGCGCAAGGTACCCCTTTCTTCACGTTTCTTCCCTTTTCTGAAGTGCCAGACTTTCGATTCTTTACATCGTTTGATCATATATGTTGATGCGCATACTTTCGGAAGAGTGCAGCGGATCTACAGTTGCTGCTCTGCACCCGAACGTTCCATGTAGTCTCTGGACTGGAGAGGGTGATGTACTCTTTGTTGAGGTGGAGGCTTGGCAGCAGATGTGGAAGATCCAATCCGTGAATCGCATGTGGACATCTGCGGATGTTGCACACGTCCGGACCTCGGCCGTGCGACTGAAAGTGGGGACATGCTGAAAATACTCTCTAGATGTGCCTTGGTCGTGCGTTGGCGGATTGACCTCGGAGCTTCGTTGTAGCTGCGAGCCCAAGAGCATCTTTCGCAAGATGCACGAAGATGGCCTCAGAGTTGCATGTGAGACTGAGGTGCATGCCATCAGCGGCGCAATCTATTTCGCCTTAGGCCAATGCAAGTTTTGTGTGCGAGCGAGCATTTTGCATTTCGTGCATGCGGGACTTGCATGCTTAGTCACCAGGCTCGCCAGAAATGTGCAGATCGTCGATCAGCTGATGTGACCCCTTGCTGATGAATCCTTTCGGAAGCAATCATTGCAACTGACGAAATTATTGGGTGTTGGCTGTGACAGCGCAAACAACCCTCGGTCAAAGTTAACAAAGCCAGTGACAGACGGCCCAATTCTCATGCCCTGCTGCCTTACGGTTGGCCACGAGTGGCGAGTCAGCCTCCATGGGCAGGAGCTGGAGTGTTGCTGTACACTGGCGCGACCGATATCATGACTCTGAATGGGAACAGCTGGGCACTGACCTCGGAGTCAGCTGTCACATGGGTGGGCAGCTGTCAGAGCTACGCGGAGTTTGCTGTACAGGCTCTTGTTTTCTTCGGCTGTTGCTGCCAAGAGAAGGAAATGCAGCAGGAGTTGCTAAGTTAGTACTCTCTTGAGCATGACCTAGGCGCCCACGCTTCCCATGGAGGCCTCCGCACGCACCGTCACTCTTGCAGACTTGCATTTGTCTGTCCGCTTCTGAGTGTTTTTTTTTGTAGTGCCTTTATCCCTGGCGAGACTCTGATGCTGCCAGGTAGATCAAATTTATGGAGGTTTGCATGCTGGGGATGCAGGAGGGCCTTACATGAGGCTTTACCTACTCCCAGACTTCTCCCGGAACGTCCGGAGGTGAAGTTGTTGACCCTAAAC